CCTCCTCCTCCTCTTCCTCCCTCCTCCTCCTCTTCTTTTTTGTCTTTAAACCATGCTGACAATTGAGTTCAGGTCTAAATCACTAAATTGCCTAAGCTGACCTTGAGTTTTCTTCAGCCTTTTGAGTAGCTGGGATTATAGCATGTGCCACTAAACCCAGCTAAGAACTTGTTTAAAAATATAGTCAAGATACAATATGGTATGTTTAGGAAATATCAGATAGTTCATTGAGACTACATAGTCCCAGAGAAGTTTGAGCTGAAGGAGATGAGGCTATAAAGTAGGTAGAAGGTTAAGTTCTGATATACTATACTAAGAAATTTAGATCTTTTTCTGAAGATGTGGCATAAGGGAAAAAGTCTAAACCCAATATGTAATGTGATCAGATTTGTATTTTAGTAAAATTAATCTGTAAATAATACAAAGAATAGAAGTAACATAGACCAATAGATAGCCAAAATTTGACAAACTAAGAAGCTAGCAGAAGAAAGATCAAAGCCAAGATAGGAGGTTGGGCATGGTGGTACATGCCTGTAATCCCAGTACTTGGGAGGCTGAGGGAGGAGGATCATTGCAAGTTTGAGACCAGCCTGGGCTACAAAGTGAACTCAAGGGCTGGGGAGATAGTTCAGTGGCATAAGCAACTGCGTGGCAAACGCAAGATCCAGAGGTTGATCCCTGGTACTACACACAAAAAAAAGCCAAAAACAAAAAGCTGAGGTGAGCCTAAACTGCATAGTGAGATGCTGTCTCAAAAGATCAAAAGAGGGGCCGGGGAGATGGCTCAGTGGAATAAGTGCTTCCCTGGCAAGCGCAAGGGCCTGAGTTCAATTCCCGGTTCTGCCAAAAAAAAAAAAAAAAGACCAAAAGAAAAAAAGCCAAGAGAAGCCAGAGGGTTGAAAAGACTGAAAGAAATTCATGAGATACAGAGGTTAAGGAAAGAGAAGCCTGGAATATATTATGTTTGCATTTTCTGTGAGACATTTACATTGATTTAGAATGTTTAAATAGATATTGATAAGAAAGTCTTATGCTCTAGAATGTAAAGATAGAATGGCTGAAAGAGAGAGTGTTCAAAGAACATGTGTAAAACATGAAAAACATTTGTATTTTGAATTAAGTCAGGGGGCCTGGCCCTAGCTCAGTCCTTTAAGTGGCTTCTTCCACAAAGCTGTCAGCCTCAGGTTCCTGGAGTTTGAATTAAGTCAGCATTTAAAAGTTAAAAGTCCTGCATTTCTACCTTCCAAATCAAAAATTGACTTAAGGAGGAGGAGAGCCAGTAAGTATATTTTTTTAGTTGGAAGATTATCACTGACTTTAGCAATAATAATTTAATTTGAATGATGTGAGCTGAATAAATTAAGAATGAAAAAATCCAAGAGCAAAGAAGGAATTTGATTTGAACGACAAGTAAAAGGGTAGACACAACAGTAGGTACGCATAGGATTAGTACCTGAAGGATTAGTTGGTAAAAGTTGATTAGGGCACTTAAGTCTAATCATTGACTTTTAATGACATAAAATATTTCAAAAAGGATATTGATACATTGTTTATTCTTCATGTACCTTTTAAATAATTTTATCATCTGTTTCAGGCTAAGAAAAGAAACATTAATTGAAGCTTTGTAATCCAAACAAATCCCACAAATATTCCAAAACAATAAAGTAAATAAAGTAAATAATGCCAAGAGCTAAGAGTCCTAGGATTGTACCATTAAAACATAAAGTAGAATGAGGAGTTATACAGCTCTCAAACAAAAATAAAATACCAATATCCAGGTAAAGAAAATCTAAATAGAATTTAATATTGTTGAATGTCCTAACAGGATTAACTTTTAACTGCATGTGAAGCTATAGAAATCGTAAACAAGATAGAAATTTATTTTTCTTTTCCATAATTTTATGAATTTATTTTTCTTTCCAGGTAGTTTCACTGTTAAAGATGTCCATGGGTAGGTGATCTGGAGCAGATAAGTGGCTCTGAGTTGTTACCAAGTACCCAGCCATGCTCTGTCCCATTCTTAATGTGGGCTTCCATACAGTCTTAGTTACTTTTCTTGTTGATGAGAGAAAATATCCAACACCCAAAGTTAGGAGACAAAATACCTGATGCCCAAACTTAAAGGAGGAAAGACTTATTTAGTTCACAGTTTGTAGAAGTTTCGGTCCATAATCAGCTGACTAAGGCATGGTGGCACATGGCAGAGGGGCAGGTAGTTCATAGTGGCAGAGGCTAGCAAAAGTAATATGAGAGAGAGAGAGACAGACAGACAGACACAGACAGACAGACAGACAGACAGACAGACAGACAGACAGACAGACAGATGCACGCAGATAAAGACCAACCAAGAGAGGGAGAGAGGGAAAAAGAGGGAAAGAGGGAGAGGGAAAGAGACAAGCCCTGTTTTCTTCTTTATGTTGTATCCAGTCTACCTGGATTAGGGTGGTGCCAGTCTAGTCAGTTGGCTGATTCAGCAATCATCCATCCTTAATCCCTGCACCCTTAACACTGCACTATAAATCAGCCACAAACTTCAGATTTAGCTACCTCTGAAAAAGCCCAATCTGAAAGTGCATGAGGCTTTGGGGGGTTTATCTAGACATAAACCCTAACACAACGAGGTTACCTTCTGACCTTCTCTTGCTAAAATGCCATCTGGTTCAAGACTTAGCAAAAAGAAAAGGGAGATGAAAGACTTCACTGCAGTAATCTTCCTCTAAGTGGCCCTCCTAGGTGGCACACAAACATTCTGCCTCCAATTTTGTTTGCTCAGCTTGCTCACAGGTCTGCACCAAACTGCAAGAAAAGCAGGGAAATGTAGTCTCTTAGCTGGGCACAGTGCTGCCCTGAAATGTGAATCTTTGTATCTCCTCTTTTTTTTTTCTTTTTTGTGGGTTGAGGTTGGCAGGTTTTACTGAGGAAAAGGGGTGTGCTTGATGAAGCATCGAACTTTCAGACCCTGTCACAACATACCTGTGCACTGGTGAAAGTCTTGACTAGCATCTTGTCTGTACTGGCCTTTTACTGTTGCCCTTTAGCAGGACCAGTCACGGACAGATTCTTTGTTTAGAGACTGTGACTCCTGAAACTGCGTAGAATTTGTTGAGGAGTGTGTTTGATCGCTTACTTGGAAAAACAAAACTTTCAAAGGAATTTGTGACTTAAACAGTTGGGCACAATTTATTACTGTTGATTTCTCAACAGTTTCAAAGAGGAGGAAGTCAGTGGTCAAGGCATTTCATCCTTCTGTTCCTACACAGTCTGGTCTGCCATAAAGAGCAAGCAGTCCTGGTTAAGTGACTCATCATTGCCAGTATGAAGAAAAAAAAAAGAATATTTCCTTTATATGGCTAAAGACTTTGGCTAGAAATGGGTAGATTTCTTTTTTATAGTGTACTCTGAACTCAGAAAACATTTACATTTTTGAGGTAGGGCTAAATACTTGTTGGTATTTTATAGAAGGATAGTGATATTGATAGCCTGGAAAAAACAAACAAACTCAACTACGGTACACACTGGCAATGTGCTATTGACTCTCCATTGTAAGACAGTAATATGTCCTTCATGGGATTTAGATCAAATGTGGAGGTGGACAGAAACACCCTTGCCTCATATCTGACAGCAAAGGTTATGTTCCATGTTAGTTCCCATTCTCTTCCAGTAACTTTCAAATGTAGGAATGAAGTCATGCTAGGGTCTTGGCTTTCCTCTCCTGAGATAGTCTTTTCTAGATCTGGGACTGTTAAATATAATTATTTCTTATACTCATGTGAAGAATTCTGGTATTATAGAGCTCAATAACTTGTATTTCAGTAGAGAATTCAAAGAGCAATTTTCTGAACCTATGCATCGGGGACTAAACCCAGATCCTTTACACTGACCTACATTCCCAGCCCATTTTATTTCATTTCATTTTGAGACTGGGTCTTCAATAAGTTGGCTAGGCTAGGTTTGAACTTGGTTTCATCTTGCCTCAGGCTCCTAGAGTGGTAGCATTACAGGTGTGCACCACCATGCTGGCTGAGAACTGTCACTTACTTATTTTTTTTTTGAGACATAGTCTTATTGTGTAATAAAGGCTCTTCTTGAGCTCACTAGCTCAAGCTGGCCTTGAATTCACAGCTATCCTTTTGCCTCAGTCTCTCAAGTGCTGAGAGCAGTGGTGTGCGGTTGTACAGCCCAAGACTTTTTTAAGGGAAGGAAATGGGTGAGTATATACTTTAACAGTTGAAAAGAAATCCAGGGCAAGTACAAGGTCCTGAGTTTGATTTTCAGTACAAAAAAAATATATATACAAATTTTATTCTCAACTATAGAAGATTTCCATTTGGAAATTTTTGTTGTGTATGTTTTTTAAAAAAGCTTTTTATATTCAGATGAAAAAAAGGCCATCTGTGGAGTTACTACATAACTGAATTATGATTCCTTTATATCCTTTTTTGTTTTTGGCACTGTGTACCTTGTAGTTTGATGTGTTCTGTACATGGGAAACACTTGGAGGATCTGATTTTGCAGTCAGATATAGTTTACCATTTTTTTCAAGTTTACCATTTTGAAAAGCATTTAAAATATTCTATTGCATACACAAACAAAACATGAATTAGCAGACCCTTTGCTGGAACACCAGAACCTGTTGTGCCTCTTGATAGTATTGATTTGTATATATTACTATAAAGATTAGGATTAAGAGTGGTGATGATAAAAGCTCCAGGTATAGTATGTAGTTAATAAGGTTGATAATTGCTTTGTTGTTTTTAACCCTGGAGAGGATCTAAGATCTACCTGAAAGTTGTTTGTGGATATTCAGCTCTGAGACTGTTAATGGATAGTGATTGTTCATATTGCCTTTCAAAATCTCACGAAGCCTGTGAAAGCCACCCTTATATCTTCCTTGCAGGACAGAGGTCAGGTCCAATCCATTCCTTCAGGATGACCCTTTCTTTGAGAAGCCCCCAAGCAGGCATATTTCCTTACCGAACTTATCCCAAGAAGAGCCTCCACCGAAGACTGCAACCCTGGCGAATGAGGAAGCACTGCAGAAGATCTGTGCGCTTGAAAATGAACTTGCTGCTCTCAGAGCTCAGATTGCCAAAATTGTGACTCTGCAAGAGCAACAAAATCTCACTACAGGTCTGTAAATCCTATATTTGTTTGAACTAGGAAATGGAAAGGAGAATGCCACTTAATTCATGATTGAATAATAAGGTAATAGCCCTTATAGTTTGAAAATCAGATGTCATCCTCTTCCTTGTCTGGTGCAGAACATGGTCAAAGTTAGGTAGATTTTTTGCGATGTTTTGCAGATTCTTAATGTTATCACACAGGACAAATAGGAAATTTATTTGGAAAATACTAGAATTATGTCATTGGATCGCTATTGTTGTGAATGTTTTTCTTATTGGAAACTTAGATGTCTGTAGTAATGACACCACCTCTGTTACACCTGAGCTAATTCCATAGGTTTTTTTTTTCTTTTAAATATTTATTTATTCATTTATTTATTTAGTGTGTGTGTGGCCAGCTCAGTCCACCAGGGGGCGGGGGCTGGCTGGCATGTGGTGCTGGGGGATTGAACCGTGGTCCCTGTGCTTTGCTTAGCTTAGCTTGTTCTAAGTAGGTGCTTTAGACCACTGAACCATCTCACCAGCCCCCATCGGTTTTTGTCTAGTGAAGGGAGCCTGAGATTATGGGCAAGACTTGGGCCATGTGTTGTTTTACTTTAATGCTTCATGTCTTGATGTAAACATTTGGCCTTTCACTGTTGTGCTCTAAAATGTGCATAATAGTACCTGTGTTATTGAGTTACTGTGTGAATGCGTGGTGTATAAAATGTCCTTTGCACACAGAAGCTACTTCATGGTTGTGCCTTCTGTTCTTGCACAGAGTTAAAAACTAAAGTCAGGTCTTCTAACAGTTGGTCTAATACTGTTATTTCTATGTTGTATTTTAATGTTTTTGGTGCAGGATCTTACTACACAGCTCAGACTCATAGTGATCCTCCTGTTTTCAGCCTCCCCAGCACTGGGATTACAGGAGTGTGTCACAATGCCCAGTCTTGGTAGCCTGCTCAGCAGGCCAGCATGTAATATTGTTACTTTAAGTAGTGTGGCATTGTTTCTTCTTTGGCAAAGAAACCATAGCCTTGAAATCCTAGCCTGCCAACTTGCAGGTAGTAGTTGTTTTTCCCATTTTTCACAAGTCCTGGATAGAGCTATTGATTAGCTCTATCAAAAGAATAAGGATGATTAGTTTACCCTACTTCTTAGTTACTCTGCTTATGCTATATTGGAATTCACATTTAACCTGACATGATGATGTGTGAAAGCATTCTGGGCACTGGGCAGTGGAGAGGTAATGGGTATTCCTTCAATAAATTGCATGAACCTTAAAATGTGAAAAGCTTGTTTGTTTCTTGTCTTTAAATTGCTGTTTTCACCCGGGGTATGGCTAAGCGACATAGCACCCACCTGCCTGGCAAGCATGAGATCCTGAGTTTGATTCCTCATACCACAAAATAAATAAATAAACAAATTGCTGTTTTCTTTTGCTTCATCTCCCTCTTCTGGCAGACTAGGAAAAATACTATTAATAGATATTGTAGAATTGATGTCTAGGTTGTCTTTTTTGTAATTTGAGTCTTTTGAGTAAAATTATTGCATTTGTGCTATTTCCCTTCTGGCCCCATCAAGATAGTTCATGTAATAACTCTCCAACTTCCAATTAGACAGATGGATTTTAGGTCCTTGTTTAATCACGTTTTAACTCTGAATTACTTTTTATTGGTTTTTGGAATTTTTTTTTTTTAAGATTTAGGGAAATATATTGGGGAATAGGAATAATTCCTGAGAAACAGGAGACATCCTCAGTTGTCTTCTTGTTTATTTTTATTTTTATTATGTTTGAGGTAACATCTGACTCTGTAGTTCAGGTTGGCCTTAAACTCACTGTCTAAGCCCAGGCTGGCCTCAAACTCATGGCACTCCTCCTACTTGAGCCTAGCTAGTGTTGGGATTACAGGTGGCCTTCTTGTTTTGGAAATTAGCTATAATATATATACTTTTTTGTTCTGCAGTTTTGTTCAATAATAAATATGAAACTCTTCCATACATATTCTAGCCAATGCACGCTTTTAATGCCCAGTAAGTCTTATATGAATATATACTTTAAATGAAATGCAAATGCAGTTTTTTTCTGAAAGTTGTACTAAATTGTGAAAACATGAATTGAAGATAGAGATGTTTATGTGCTGAAAAATGCTTTATATTTCTGCTAAAAGTGGCAGTGCACTGTATCACAGTCAAACTTGAGAATATGAAGCCAGAAATATACTTCTGTTATGTTAAAAGGAACTTTTCCATCTGGAGAGTTTAGATTGCTCAGATTTTTGATACAATAGCTCAGACTTAGACATTTCTCACAAAATAACTGAAAACTGCTTTTTTTCTTGCATACATAAAATTCTTTTTAAGAATATTGTTTGTAAGAATACAGTATTCAAGATTAAGTTTGCTTTTAAAAGCTGATTTTCTTGCCTACTAACAGCCGGATTGTTTATTTTTCCTGTAGGTGCCTTAGATTCTGCCACTTCTACTGCAACAGCACCACCTCCTCCACCCCCACCTCCACCACCACCCCTTCCAGTAGGGCTTCATAAGAGTG